TGAGGAAAGAAATTATGTAACCGCCACCACGACACAAACTTTACCTGATCACGCTCTTCGACCTTGATTACAGCTTTTCTCACTCCAAGACCAAGATCTACCTTCGATGACTTGGTGATTGTAGTGAACCGCTGCTTACACAATGGGCATCTCGACTCAACCCTAGACCATTCCATGATGCACGCGAAGCAAAAGTAGTGTGAGCAACAATTGAGGACGCCCTGTATAGTAGCTCTCTGCTCCTCTGAGAGGCAGATCCCGCATATTGGCTTCCCAGCTTCCTCCAGTTCCTGCTTCTCCTTTCCCTTGCCTTCTCCATGCCTTGTAATACAAATCCTTCTCAAGGGTGCAGGGAGAATTGGCGCAGCCTTTGGAGGCTCAGGCTCCCTCAATTCCTCCAATTCCTTATCTGATACAACAAACTCAGAATCCGAGGATGACTCTGACCCAGATGTCCTCTTCTTCCTCCCTTTTCTGACTGCAATCTGCTCAACTACAGGTGTCTCAACATTGTTAGGTTCTTCATCAGATGTTGCGAACTCAAAGTCTGATGTGTCTGACTCAACGTCTGGCCATGTCTCTTCCTCAATAGATACTTGAGGGTCCACCTCTGTCTCCCTCCCACTCCCTGTCCTGGCCTTCTTCCTGGGGTGCCGACTCACAATGACCTCATCATCCACAATGAAGTCATCCTCATCCACATCCTCATCCTCATAGTCGTCAATCACTGAACGTTTTCTCCGCCTCTTAACAGGTGCTGATTTCTTCACTTTAGCTGAAGCCCCCTTCCGCCTAGAAACCTTGGATCCCCTATTTTTCTTCTTCTTCTTTAGTGTTCGCCGCTTGGAATTGGACTTTCGCTTCGCCAGATTCTTTACAGTTACCTTTCTGGCACGAGTAGAAACCAGTTCCTCTTCCTCCTCGTCTTGATACTCATCCTCCTCATCACTATTCACATTGGGATCAAAATCAATGTCCTCATCTAACTCATCCTCCTCGTCATCCAAATCGGGGTCAAAGTCCATATCTTCATCGTCCTCCTCCTGCTTTCGCTTGTGAGATCGCTTTGCTGCTGGAGACAACTTGACATTCGCATCGGGATCAAAATCAATGTCCTTATCTAACTCATCCTCCTCGTCATCCAACTCGGGGTCAAAGTCAATATCCTCATCGTCCTCCTCCTGCTTTCGCTTGTGAGATCGCTTTGCTGCTGGAGACAGCTTGACATTCCGGCCATGGGCACCGCATTTTGCAATGCTCTTCGGCCGTGGTGGTGCCACTTCTTCCTCCTCCTCGACCTCCTCGAGCTCATCGTGGTACTCCACCTCGTCGTCTTCGTCAACCTCCTCCTCGTAGTCCTCGTCCTCCTCATACCTCTGGCGCCGAGATCGTGCGGCGGCCGGATCCACCTTTCCCTTCCGCCCTCGGTCGCTGCCCTTTGCTGGTCGCTTCGGGCGCGGCGTCTCGATCTCGTCGTCGTCCTCTGCCTCCTCCTGGTATTCGGCGTCTGAATCCTCCCCCTCCTCGCCGGCGCTCGAGGCGCGGAGCTCCTCCGCACAATCCTCTTCCTCCTCCTCCAGCACATACTCGTCGTCGTCCTCCTCCTCTCCGTCCAGCCACCGGCGGCGGCGCCTACTGCTGATGGCCCGCCTCGCCGGCGGCGACCCCTCTCCAGTCCCCATCCCTGCACACCAAATCCACAAAATCAGAACTCAATCTCCCCCGAGGCAAACCCAGATCGACGGATCCCGGCCGGAAACTCCCCGAATTCCGCCCAAATCAGCAGGAACTTGCCTTTTCGCGCGAGAATTGGCGCGAAACAGTGGTCGACAAAAGGCAGAGCCGCGGGGCACCGAGTTCTGTTCACGCCCCGCTAGCCCAAAAATTCTCTCGAAATCTCTGTAGCGGCGGGCTTAAATCGGCTCTTGCGCGCGCATGGTCAGCGAAGGCGGCGGCGGCGGCGAGCAGAATCGGGAAGCGGAGGAGGAAAACGGAAAGGGGAACGGAGGAGAGTGGAGGAAGGCCGCGGATGGGGCCAGGTGGAGGCTACGAGGGGTTGAGGGGAAGCATCGTCGCGTCGCGTACGGGCGGGCGGGCGGGGGGTGGATGCGGTGGTTTTATCGCCTCGCCCTCTCCTCACGACTCACGAGACGAAACGCGTAGCGTGGGGGCCAGAGGGGTGGGTGTGCGCAGTGCGGTGCGGTGGGGTGGGGTGGCTGGCCGTTGGGTTGGCGTTGGACCGTTTCGGAGTTGGACTCGCCGCCCGCAGCGCCGCGGTATTTGCAGCCGTTTTTTCGCATACTTTTGCTTGGCCACCGGGCGATTCCGATCCGTTTTGGGTGGGTTCGGCCATGGCGTCGCCGCGCGGCCGAACCGGTCAGCCCAGTGGCGTGCCCTGGTTGGTGGTGGTGGTGCCTTACGTGTCCTTGACTCGAGGGAAAGTCTGATCTGATGTGGAGACGGGAAGGGAAAGGAGAATTTGCCGTCTCCTCACGCTGGTCCCGCGGCTTTTGACAGCACCCGGGTTTACAGTACTCTTTTCAGTGCGTGTATCCCGAGCTTTTTTAAGCCAACGACAAAGTTCAGGTAGCAAGCAAGAATAGCCCTGTGCTCCAGTACAATTATCGCAGCCATAGAACTGGAAACAAAACAGTGATAGCCTTGCCACTGACATGTGAACTGCAGATGACAGGCCGATGTGTCAATTTAAAAAGGTTATCACATACGGAGTAGACTGGGAGGCTCCAAGGTCGTGGTAACGGTCTATACAAACGGGGAATTGTACAAAACATGAATGCATCTGATAGTACCACAAAACGAACATATTTGATCATAGAATAGCACATGTGGACTGTACCCAACGCCTGATCTGCCAGGCAAGAAGCAGGTCTTTCTCCAAGAAACGGTTTCTATTTCATATTTTCTGGCAATTTTTAGTTAAAAAGATTATTTGTTTTCACTATGCTTTTGAGAAGAGTAAATAAGTTCATTTTCTATTTAAGATTGAAATTTACAAGGAACAAACAAGTTCCTTTCTATTTAATATTGGAGAATTGATACAGTAGCTAAGAACCTCAACACAACCGTAAGTCCGTAATACATCTTGTGACAGGGACACATCACTGCAGCCATGATTTGTCAAATTTGACATGCATCAATAGAAACAATTGGGAAGGCAGATCATTATGTCCTATAATCTGGTCAATTTAAGCAGACAAAGAAAACATGTCTTACTTGGCAAACAGATGATACGGACTATTATAAAAAATTTCAAACTTATGCAGCTGGAGCGCAGGATATGTTTTAATATGTAGTACAGCAAAGCCATTATGAGAGAAATTAATTCTCCTATCTCCTCAATATAAGTGGGCTGCTTGGCAAACAGTAAATACAAAGTATAGAATTCAACAAAAACAGCAATACATTACTTGCTAATTAAACCTTTCATGAATGCCATCCTCTTTATTGTTTCAGTTAAGTACACCAATAACACCAAAAATATAGACAGTATATAGCAAGAACAGCATTAAGCTGAACCTACTCGGCCATTGCTGGAAAAACACGCTAATATGACCTTACCCATACCACTATTCGCATGAATAATAAGCACAAACAAGGATACAAATGTTCTTAGGCACCCAATCAAACATGGCTGCAGCACTGTCTCACTAAACATCGTGAAGAGAGTGTGCTAAATCATCCCTGCAACATTTAAGTGGCAAACGTGCTTTACAATAATAGGAAAAAGAAAAGTCACTGCACAGCAGTACCTTGAGGCACTTACAGCTCACTAGTCACCACCACAGCAATACCCTGACCTTAGCAACAGATCATCTTAACAGCAGAGTCAAAATTGAGCAAACTTCACAGTGCATACTACCATATATTGTAAACAAACGATATTGCCAGCCACACAACCACAGAGAAACATATAATCAAGTGAACTTTGACACACTACCATACTTTATGCCATTCATATTTGCATGAATCAATGCCTAACGAATAAATGAAGAGAGCTAATTCGCATCTATTAATTGCAGCTTTCTGCTTGTAGCAGTATAATAAAAGACAAGTCCAACAACGATTTGGAGGTAATGAACAAATACTGCATTACATTGATTGATTGCAATTAGACAGCTCCTGAGGTTCTATTTTGCTCTGATCACCGTTCTTTCCAAGTTCCAAGTTAATTGAATTAGCCTAACTTAATAGATGGTAATTGACCATACAAACAAAATCTAATTTTTATTGGCCTGAAAAATAAGAGCCAATAACTGAATAATGTTTCGATTATTCAAGCTTGGTCCTCCCGCTATTATCAAGTTTATGCCATTGACTTAGTTTTTAGCAATCCTTCATCATTTTTATACCTTATTTGCGCTTGAGGACATGGACATTTTATTACATGATGTGCCAGGCTTTGATTACATAAGCTCCAGAGTTTTGTTACCCAATTTGCAAACTATTTCATTATTACGATTAGGAATATGAATGTGTTGTGTGTATTTCTTCTTTTTGTTCATGAGAAGCAGATTGTGATGGCTAACTTGATAAATGGAGAACGGATGTGCATCTTTGTGCTCCAAATTAATTTGACATGGATAGCTCATGGTTGCAGGTGAGCCTCAACCACAATGCTTTTGATTCGAGAACTATGAAGATGAAGCCAAATAGTGAGCAGTTAAATGTAGTTGGAGAAAAGCAAGATCATCTTATCTGAACTCAATCATAGACTGCAGAAACAGATATACTTTTAAGAACAAAAAAAATATTGAATGATCAAGATGGTTGGAAAACCCCAAAATTCTTTAGTCCAGCCAAATGAACCAGAATAAATTCTTTGGTCCACCAAATGAATCGGAATAAACTTCATTCATTCCCCAGAGGACCAGTATCAGTTTTAGGAGCATCCAGATTTCCAGGGGAAACGCTTAGTTACGCTCTAATCAGAGCTTTATTTCATCATATAATGTGCTATCTATAACATGTACCTTCAGGCTTCAACAAGAATTCCAGTTCTTATGCGTGCTGATCAACGCCGAGAGCAGGCCAGCTGATGCCATCAGCGTGGAGCTCCCGAGCAAACCCTTGCCATCGGTGACGTCTCCCAGCGCCATGACTGCATCCGCCACGTCCTGCACCACTGACATCCGCTTCAGCAGCAGCTTACCCTGCATCGTCTTCACCGCCTCGCTCTCCTTATCACAGTCCTCCGCGAGCCGCTTCTTTATCGAAGATTCGATCTTCGCCGCCTCCTCCAGCTTAATCGCAATGGAGCCGACGTAGCCCAGCAGCTCGGCCCAGGCACTGAGGCGCTGGAGGCGCGGGAGAAGGTGCGCAGGCAGGAGCCCGGCCTTGGCGAGCCAGACGAACTGCTCGACGAAGTAGTAGACGCCCTCACCGCCGTAGGCGAGTAGCGCGAGCGCCGGGGGAGGATGCGGGTGGGCGCGGAGGGCGTTGAGGGACTGCACGAACTTGCCGAGACGGAAAGCCTTGCGGCTGAGGCCGACGCTGGACTCGAAGGACTTGAGGCGGGTGGAGGCGCCGGGGGGCAGCGGCGGCCCAGCGGCGAGCGCGAGGCGTGCGGCGTAGCGGGAGATCTTGAGGAGCTTGTCGACGCCGTCGCGGCGGGCGAGATAGGCCTCGAGGTGGGCGAGGAAGTCGCGGGCCGGTTGGCGCGCGGCGGCCGCGGCCGCGGCCGCAGGTGTGGGATTGGGGGACTCGGAGGAGGCCATGGCGGCCCGCGTGGGATTGCGTGACTCGGAGGAGGCCACGGCGGCCGGCGTTCGCGGTGGCGTGCAAGCGGTGGAACACCGGTGCGGGGTCGTAGATCGAGCTGGCGGCGATTGCGTGTACGATGCGGCCGACAGTCGTGTAGGGGATTGGGGATTTCGTCCCGGTTCGAATCGACGTCTGGGAGAGGGCGACGACGAATCATTTGGAGTGACGAAGCGGGGCCACATGCCAGGCAAAGAGCTCGATTGGTCAAATCGACAGAACGAGACGTGTCAAAAACATGGACAAATTTTCGTTTCGAAAAAAAATTGTGGAGAAAGTTAGGAGCTGCTTTGCCTGGGTGCACCTCCCTCCCGGTGGCCGGTAGGTGGCGGCTGCGGGGAAGGGGAGATTGGCGAGTTCGGTAGGGGAGGGGGGGAGACTAATGGACTCTGAACATGAAAAATACATACATGACGTTGATCAAAAGTTTACTAAAATAGATTCTACGAAGGAAGGGAGGTCGAGTGAGTCATGCCAAGATGAATGTGTAACTAAAATAAAGGTAATTGACTCTGGACACGTTGATCAAAAGTTTACTAAAATAGATTCTATGAAGTAGGGAATTTGGGAGTTAAGTGCTTAAATTAATTCTATAGACTAATATCCTGGCTTTAAACCTTAGTAAGGCATGGAAATGGTTGGCCAAGGACAGCTAGACTCTAAGGTAGTGTTTGATTCAACTTGTGCAAAGTGCTTCTGTTGACGACTAGAAAGCCAACTAAACGGGTAGAATTAGAAGATGCAAAATTGATCATGGTGTTTTGGACCCTGCTTTTAGCTTTTCCAAATTTCTTGAAATAGATAGACATTTTACAAGATATGGTACGTTTTCTAGTTATTTTAACCAAATATCCTACAACTCCTTCGCAACATATAACTCACAATAGTTTTTTCACTTATCACAACATTTTTTTACAGCTCACACTTAAATCAAACAAACCCTAAAGCTGGCGGCAACTAGGTGCGGGGCGACGGTGAATGGTTGGGCGTGGTAGCAGTTGAGCGGGACTAAACGCCGTAGGGAGGGAGGCAAGTGCAAGATTGCTCAATAAGAAAGTATGGGCACCTACTTGACCCTAGGGATATGCATGGGTGGATTTACGCAGTTTTTTTTGCGACTTGGTGATTTCATTCATCGATCATTCAATAAGGGTTACAATCTGAAGTTACCAGGTGATCTACACAGGTTGGGGCTAACTGCCACTCACCACCTAACCCACGAAACTTGCTTAGCTAGTTCATGAGCTACTCGGTTACAAGATCGACTTGTAAACATTAAAAAAATCAACAAAGGAAGAGCTAATTTCCTGAGTTTTCCTGATGATCGACGTAATCCGTGAACATTGATTGGCGCCCTTCTTCTATAGCTTCACAAATTCTTGACTACCGGTCTCCAGAATAAGTCGTTGCACCCCCTTATCCCGAGCTAGAACAGCACCATCCCGGGAAGCCAAAGCTTACTGGGTCAATGCATCAAGGCCATGAGGGTACCACCTTGCCCGTCCACCAACAAAGAGACCTGAGTCGTTTCGGAGAGCTACCCCGAACGCACCTTGCCCTTGGTCCGGGTAAAAAGCACCATCAATATTGCATTTGAACCAACTGGGCGGCGACGCACGCCATTGCTGCACATTGTTCCTCTCCTTCACCGAATTCATCGGCTTGTTCAAGTTCCATAAATTGATGGCTGTGTCAAGTGACCAGCGGACCGCAGCACTAATTGGTTTGTGATTGTCACCATGTTGTCGCTGATTCCGTTGCATCCAAAGGGCATACATGCCAATAATGAAAATGCCCCGCTCCCTATCGTTGCACAAGTCATCCATCAGCAGGTCGCTTGCCTAGGATATTGGATGGAGACTGGGCAGCTTCCTCCCTGTGATTAGCTTCACCTCTCGCCAAAACATCTTTGCCGCGGTGCACTCAGTAAGAATGTGCTTGATAAACTCCGTGTCAGCTCTGCACATCTCACAAAAGGCCGTTGGCTCAATATGCCTCCGATGTAAGATTTCCTTTGCTGGAAGGAATTCATGGAGAACTTTCCACTATAAAATTTTGACTTTCGGAGGCACGGGTAATTTCCAAATCTTTGTCCAGGAATCATCGCCTGAGCCACTCGGAAGCTCCTCATCTCCTCGTCCATTCATCGCATATAGCTTTCGATAGGCCGATTTGACAGAGTAGTTTCCATGCTTCTTAGGCTCCCATGCCCACCAGTCATCATCTTGTTGGCGTATAGGGATTTTAAGAATGGCGTTTGCATCGATTGAGAGAAATACATCACATATGAGTACCTCATTCCAAGCTCCCAATGCAGTCATGAGTTCAGACACCATAGTAAGTGCCTGACCATCTCCAGGATTGATCGGTCGAGCATCAAAATGAGCAGGTATCCACCTGTCTCTCTAGATGTTGGTCTGCTCACCAATGCCAATCCTCCTAATCATGCCCCTTTCTAAAACTTCCCTGCCTACTAGGATTGCCCGCAAAGTATGGCTAGCATGTTTCCTCCTGGTACTGCCCATGAAATCACCGTCATGGTAGTATCTTCCCTTCAACACTCGAGCACATAGGCTATCTGGTCGCGTCACCAATCGCCAACCTTGTTTGCCCAACATTGCTTTGTTAAAGAGATGTAGATCTCGGAAGCCCATACCACCAGTCGATTTATGTTGTGTTAGCCGATACCGTCTCAATCAGTGGATATGTCTATTATCAGCTGAACTCCCCCACCAATAATTTGCAATTGTTGACCTCATCTTCTTGCACGTCGTCTTGGATAGAAGGAAGCAACTCATAGAGTATGTAGGGACTGCCTGAGCCACTGATTTGAGAAGCACTTCACGTCCAGCGCAACTTGCTTCCCTACCACTCCAAGTTCCAACCAGATTTTTGATTCTTGTGGCCATGAAATCAAAGGCCTCAGTAGATGACCTCCCAATCGTAGTTGGCAGTCCCAAATATTTGTTAGACAATGCTTCAGTTTCAATGTGTAGCTCATGCCTAAACTCTTGCTTGACTTGCTCATCATAATTTGAGCTGAAAAAGACTGTTAATTTATCCTTGTTCACCATCTGTCCAGACCCCCGACTGTAGGTCTCCAAAATTTCCTATAATCTAACTGCCCCCTCTGCGACGCTTCTAAAAATATGATACAATCATCCGCAAAGAGAAGATGTGAGACCTAGGGAGCATGGATTCCCACGTGAACACCCCTAGAGAGATGCATTGGGCTGACCGATTTCAGTAAACATGAAAGTCCTTCAGCACAGAGGAGAAACAAATATGGGGATATTGGGTCCCCTGCCATATCCTCATGAACTTTAACTTTAACTGAAAAAGAAACTGGCATCACACACCTCATGATTAGTGTGACGAACATTTCATGAAAGCCCAGCTACAACATGATTTTGTTGAGATACTCCCATTCCACACGGTCATATGCCTTGGCCATATCAAGCTTTACTACATAGGCGCCACCTTTCCTATTACAATGTTGAGAAGCTCTAGGAGCCCTACTATGATGGAGAATGAATGAAATGGTAGATGATGTCAATCTCCCTAGAGGGGGTGCCCTGGCTGCCCTTATATAGAGTTCGGGGCCAGGGCACATACAAAGCAGTAGGTTCTCCCGATCGAAGGGTCATTAGCCTAAGGGAGGACCTAGCTAACCTGGCTTGCAAGCTACACCATCTTGAGGTACACACCCAAGCGTGGTTGTCGTCGTGGTCTTGTGGCCACGTCGTGGCATGGTGTGACGTGGTGCTACTGTGCTGGCCGTGGCAGCACTGTAGGCACGCTGGTTGTTCACCAGCCATCCTATGCGACGTGGACTCCTCCATGGCCTTCGTCATTGTCTCCTGGTTCCCTGGGCATCGTACCAGAGTTGGTAGCTGCCCCAAGGTCGTCGATTGCCTTGTTGGCTTGAGGAGCTGAGGGCCACGATCCCAATCATCGGGGTCGTGGCTCCCACCGATCTGAATAGCCTCTAAGTCAAGGCTCTCAACGTGGATCCCATCCAATAGTGGGTGGGATCGTACCCATGTCTTGTCGGTCCATAGTTGGATGATGGGCTCCGTACCGGTCATCACCGCCGTGCGGTGTTGTCTTATCCATGCAGCGTGTCACAGGGATGGCGTCTGACCGGGCCGAGGTGACTGCTGTCTCCTCGGTCCTTGCGGGGTCAGTGTAGTGTGCTTGCTTTTGTCAGAGTAGGCACACTTGTCTAGGCTCGACCTCTCCCCGTTCCTTCCATAGGTCGTGCGCCTTTCGAGCACCATGCGGCTAAGGCAAGAGGAAGGGGTCATGGCCAACCCTAGCCTTGTTGCCTAGCCTAGTTTGTTTGGCCTAGTTAGGCCTCGATCGTTCGGGCCTTTGCTAGCTGATATATTGCGGGCCACGTGGCCTGCTAACTAATCGATGCCTTGAGACACCCCAGGGTTATTACCCCGATAGTAGCCCCTGAGCATTTTTACGATCACGAAGTGATCGTGAAAGCGCTGAGATGCATGTGCGTCATGCGCGGGTTCGTAGTCATGGCCTATTCGAGCTTCGTTGCTTGACCCCTCGTGGGTTGGCGCGTTCAATGCGGTAGGTGGCTATTATGTTTGGCCTTGTCAGGATGCCCTGATGATGTGGTACGTGACTACTGAGCCTTGTTGTGTGCTGTGCCAGTGTACTGCGTATCGGGGCTTGTGACCCAGGTGGAACTGAGCAGTCTCATCGACATCGTACTGGTCCTGCCTTTGTGAGAGTCTTGATTTTCCTAACCTCACACAAGCGTCAGACATTGGTTGTGACCTCCCATGGTTCGCCACGCGGTGCGGGAGTCTTAGGTTGTTCAGTCTGCCCTTGGGCCTATAAATGTGGGCCTTTCTTTTGTTCGAACTACTCATGGCTGTAACTACAAATCATTCCCTTCCTTCCTACTGAGAGAGTGAGGAAATGGGAGAGAAAG